TAGTAAAGCAATGCCCTACTACCCTTGTCAGGAGAGAATGTCCCTACAACAACATCAGCACAAAGATGCGCACCCGCTGCTCTCGGGTGGTCACATCGTCGTCAAGAGCCGCTGCCAGCGTTGAGCGGCGAATTTCCCTAGCACTGAACTGAATCGCCTCAACCTCAGCTCGGGCCCGAATAGCGATCGGCCCCAACAACTCCTCGACCTCTGGAGAGAAGACGTCGATCCCACCGTCAAACGGCAGTGGCACAGAAGTGAACTGCAGTCTTGTGATGAGACTAAAGTCTGTAGGGGTGACCATCATCTCGCCCCAAAGGAAATGAAAGGTGTTGGTGGTGTCCCAGAAGAACTCCACCAAAGCACGCATTACGTGATGACCCCCGCTGGAGTCGACCATAGCCTCGGAGGTCTCAAACAGAGTAGCTAGCCCGCAAGACTCCCATAGGAGCCTCGTCTCGGGATCCCTGGCGATGTGCATCCTGTATAAATCGCCTAAACCGTCACTGCCAGAGCCGTGATGCCGTGTCCTCCCGGGCTCGGTACCCTGTCTCACCCTCTCGGAAATGTGGTGGACAGGGGCGAAGAACAGAGTCCGCTCGTCCCACTCCGGAAGCCGACCGAGTGAAGTGGACGGCGTGGCGTCGTCCTCTACGGGCTCATGCTCCCGTCTAGTGTTTCGGGACCGTGAACCTTAGCCTCCCTGTCTAGCCATGCTACATTGTGCAGAATTATCATGAATTAAGGTTCTATAGTATCTAAGGTTCGCCTATCCGCATGATACTATGTTCGCAAAAAACAGAGTACGTAGTACTAAAACAGAGCACAAATTCAAATTGAGCATGACAACATTTTTTAAAGCAATCAAACAATTTCTTGCAATACTATAATGATTATTGTGACAAATTGGACAAGAATTGCTAGCAAAAACATCAAGAACGAGTCACATTGTTCTTCACGACCTTAAGAGGTCCAACAATGGCAAATTGCTCATTTCTTCACCAAATTGAGTCAAACAAGTCTCAAATTACTCCCAAGGCAATATACAAACATAATCAAGCAAATTCATGGCATAAAACTTGACAAACAAAGCAAATTGAGCATTATAAATTTTGAATTTTCATGAAATCCGTGAATAAACATGCCAAGAATTCATAAAAACTGATGTGAGTTTGAAGAAAACTTACATAGATCAGGAAAATAGATGAGAAGAGCTTTGATTTTCAACAAATTTGAGCGAATTCGGTTGAGAAACGAGCAAGCAATGAGCAATTGAAGCTTTCGGTTTCCTCGAGCAGTTTCGCGACGAACGGAGCAGCAAAATGAAGGGGAAAGGGGTATTTAAGGGAGATCCCGTGCTGGCGCCAGTCCCTATGCATTGGCGTCACAAATTAGGCTTGGCGCCTGGCACCAACATCAGCGTCTGGCGCTAACACCAAATAGCTGGCGCTGATGGTTTTTCAGCGACGCCATAGCATCCAGCCACCTGATGAGGTTGTGCTAGACTTCTGCAACATATTTTTGGGTTCCTTGGTACGCCAGTTAGCCCCTCTAAGCAATTTGACATGATTTAGTAATCGGTTTGATTACATAAAGTGATCGACCTGATAAGAGATCGTCTCACTTAGCTTAAAGCGCCTAAGCATTGGCTCATTAGCAAAAGGCACCGACATATAGGTTCAAAAGCAAAAGGGCACCGACATACAGGTTCAAAACAAAAGAGCGCCGACGTACAGGCATAGCGGAAGCAAAGTTTAGGAGAACTTTTAATGATCGACAGGCGTGGATCTTCGGTAATTTCCTTTGGAAAATTATCGCATCAAATGAGGATGACTTCAAGAGAAGATATCTTCGACAACGTTCCCTAGCTTGCGGAGAGTTGTCGCGAACAATTGGAGGTAATTTCAGGCGAAGTTATCTTCGATAGTATTCCCTAGGATGTGGAATATTATCAATGCGGATGAGGATTATTTCAAGCGAAACAATCTTCGGTAGTATTCCCTAGGATGTGGAATATTATCAATGCGGATAGAGATTGTTTCAAGAGAAATAATCTTCGATGGTATTCCCTAGAATGTGGAATATTATCAATGCGGAGGAGGATCATTTCAGGCGAAGCAATCTTCCAAATTTGGAAGCAGTTACAGGCGTAGCGGTTTTCAAGCGGGATGGCATTCTCTAGCTTGTATGAAGTCATCAAAACAATCGGTTACTTTCAGAGACGTGTGCTCGACAGTGCAAGATACGCGTTTCTTAACTCTTTTATCTGTTTAAGTAATGCTAGTTTTACAGGTATCTGCGTTACAAGAGTGATTTAGGATCGCAAAACGTTCTGAATCATTCTCCGTCCATATCGATACTTTGACTTTTGTTTTCGAAACTTGTGTTTCTCCAAACTCAGTCAAAGTGGGGGCTTCTGTAGACACCCATTTGTGTCTCCCCAAAACCAAACCCAGTGATGAGTACCTTTCACGTCGAATCATAATCGAATGAAATGAAAGTGTGGAAAGTCTAGTGTTGCGGAAAGTTTTTATTTTTCCTTTCTCTTCTCTCTGTTTTTGAAAACTTTATTTTAAGAAAACAGCCAATCCACTTTGGTTGGTCCATGATATGGGTCCAATAGAGGTTTAGTTGGATGGGGCTTGGCAAAGACCTTTCCAACAATATATTATAAGCCCAATTCCGATGAATATTTAGGAAGTTATGGCCAATTTACTAAACTGGGCCCGGTATGAGCTTTATATACGGCCCAATGATCTAGGGGAGGGCCTAATATGATTTATCATTCCTAATGCAATAAGGAATGGTTTTAGTCTTCTAGATTCTTCTAGAAGGTTCTTTTCATTCCTAATTCAATTAGCATTGATAAGTTGACTTTGTTGACTTTTCAGAGTTTTAATCAAAATCAAATAGCATTTTCGAAGAAATTATATTATTTTATCCTCCAGTACGGTAAACTTATCGGATTTTCGAAAACGCGTTATATAAAGCTTGGCGTCCAACCCCAGGCCTTGGCGCCTGAAACCAGGCCTGGCGCCTGGCGCTAGCCATTGGCGCCTGGCGCTAGTGCTGGTGCCTGGCGCTAGCTAGCCAGGGTTGGCGCCAACTCTGTTTCCTGAGCGTCGGACTCTTTTTTGTTAATTTATCTTTTTTGGCTGATTTTCTCTATAAATATCGTATTAAAAACTCCGTTTTCATTCACCAATTTTCATCAAGATTCATCAATTCTCATCATTCATCAACATTCATTAGCATTCTTTTAATTCTCTCATTCATCTCCTCCTAAACTTGGTTTTCTCATACAAAATTCCGCATTCGCAAGACTTAGATACACCTAGCCATATTCGACGTTGCCTTCGCCCTAGACGTGAAAGGTTTTACTCCCTCCGTCCCAAATTACTTGCATCACTTTCCTTATAAGGTCGTCCCAAATTACTTGCAACATTTCTATAAAAAGGCATGGTCCCACTATTTTTTTAATATTTATCTCAAATATCAATGGCCCACTATTATTTCACTTTTGTAAAAAAATGATAAAAAATTTACACCCCCCACCCCCCTACCCATACCCCTGATCTAATTTCACACGCCACTTTCTCACTCCAAATTATTTCACTTTCTCACTCCAAATTATTTTAACCCATTTTCAAGGTTCTTTCCATTCATCTTCTTCCCCAAATCATGAAACAAATTACTGTAGATTTGAGAAAAAATCTCATGGATGATACTGAAAAACATCAAATTAATCCTGATTTAGCTAAAAACAAAGATCAAGACTCATTCATCTACCCCAATTCTGATGTAATTGGGATTTGGGTCGATGATTCTGAAGAACCATTTTCAATAGTTCCTGAAACTCCGCCAGACGTTCTCCACACTCGAGAGCGTGAAGTGACTACTCCACCGAACGGTTTTCTTCCAAGTGCGTTTTTTTTTGGTAGAGCACGGAGAGTGGGTTGTTCCCGACACTCCAGAACGTGAAGTGGCTACCACTCCTGTGTGTGTAGCTCCAAAGCTAATTCGATGTAGCAGCGGACGTCAATTTAAAAATTCTGGGAAAGGTAAGTTGAAATCTAGAAAAAGAAAAGGTAATGTATCAAAAGAAGACATTTTTCAGATGTTGAAGGGTTATGTCCCAATTATTGAACGACATATGATGGGTGATAGTTCTGGAAGTGAATAGTGGTGGATTATTGTGTTAGTTATTCTTATTTGATTTTCCCATCAAGTACGGAGTATTAATCTACTGCTTGTGATGTTGGTAAGCTATGCATGTTGTGATGTTCCCATTAAGTATGGAGTATAATCTAGTGCTTGTGATGTTGTACGGAGTAATTGTTAGGCAAAAAAATGAGTACTCTTAGAAGATGTACTCCGTAGTGTTATTGTGTTGTTTACTTGGTGGTGTAGTAGTAAATGAATTAGGTACTCTTTAAATTGATTGACAAGCTAATTTATGTTAGTACTTGATCTTCCCATTAATAATTGATGCTTACAAAAAATTTACAAAAGTATTAGGGAGGTTCATATAATATCTCTCCACTAATCTACTGCTAGTTTTGATTGTTTACAATTATGCTTTCAAAAACTTTACAAAATTAATCATTTGACTTTTTAGCTTCCAAAAGTTGCAAGTTCATCACTTCAAATTGTCTGCTGCATAGCTTCAACGTATGCCAAACATTCTTCTACAAGACTTGGAGATGGAGAGAAAACAATAGGAAGTAGTCCTTATCTCTCTAAAGCTTCTTTTCCAACATGTTTTTACAAGTAATTATTGCTCCCCTTTACTCTCATCACTTGAATTAACACCAATTGTAGACTAAGGAACACTCTATTCCCTTTAGTTGGACAATACTCCCTAAATGCATTTTTAACATTCTTGACTAGCTCCTTGGTGTTTTTTGGGGCTGTTTGATCCTTGAGGGATTGTATCGCCCTAAAAAATCCAAGGTCTAACACATTCATATCTGGGTTGTTCGGAGGTTGGAATACTAACCTTAAGTCTTTGTTGGAATTTGCACAGCTTCCATGAAGTCTCTGTCTTGTACTTCTATGTGAGGTCTTGCATTGTCTTGTTGCAAATAGATTGGACCTTGATCATTATCTGGCCACTTTTGCATGATTGCTGGGATCACTTGTCTGATTAACATGTTCCTATAAGCTTCTTTTGTGACTGAGGTAACTGGTTTGAGCTCTAATGTACCTGCTGGCCTATTTATGCTTCTTCTTTTTGCTGGCACCCACCTGACAAACGGAAACATTCCTATTTTCCCATCAAAAATGCATTCTCCTTCTACATTAAATCGTGGCCTAGCAACGGCACATAGGAACATGACTTTTGTGACAAATCTTTTGCTCTTACACGTTCTATAAGGTTGTGTTTCACCTGGGAGTAGGTAATAACGTTGTGTCCCTTTTGTCATGTAGAACCATTTCTCGTCTAAATGGATTGTGGTGTACATAACGTTGAACATACCATTGTCTTGATCAATGGCTTTGAGGCACCATTTTAGTCTTTCCATGATATTATTTTCTGTAAGTGCTGGTTTCAATGCATTTGTGTGTGGCTTGATTTGACCACTTTTGATCAACCTATGAATGGTGCTCTTAGAAACACCTAATGCTATTGAAAGTGCCCTAATGTTGCCCCTTTTGTGAAATGGAATTTTAGAAATTTTACTTAAGTCAATGTGTTTACCTTTCTTGCCAACCCTTTTGGGTTTCTTAGAGTCCATGTTGACTGCATCACCGTTTTGCCATAGAGCTTTTGCTTGCTTCAAAATTCTGTAGATTGTGGTTCGATGCACTCCAAAAAGCTCTGATGCTTCTTTCACGGTACCCCTTTTCAACTTTCTAGTGGAATTTTTTACTAGTAACCAATTAGCAATTCTGGTTCTTGCATCATTTGTAAGCTCTCTTTTCTCTCTAAAAATGCACATGATTACTCTACACTAGTTGCATCTAAGTGAAAACTGAAGAAGAAAACTTACGACATTTTTTCTAATTCTACCCCAACCCCCCCCCCCCCCCCCCGCCCCCATATTTTTTCTCTGTTTGTTCTTTACTCTCTATTTGCTGTGTTTTTTTTTTGGTAATCTACAGGTGAAGCTGAAATAAAGAAGAAGCATTTATTATGGTTCAATATATAAAGGCCATAATTTGGAAGCTCCAAATTCAAAAAGGGGATGTGTACAAAAATATTTGAAATTTCACCAAAAAAATCAAAAGGGAAAAATTATAAAGTGAATTCTGGTGATGGTGTTTGTCGGCAAAAATTAAAAAAGGAATCAAATTTTTTGGATTCACATGTTATGGCACGTGTATCCAACACTCCAACAGCACACCCCACCCCCCACCCCCCACAGAATAATGCTATGGCCCACTTCCACTAGCTATAATAAAAAAATGCCCACTACCAACTTACATACATTATAATAAACAAGTCAATTACTTTGCATAAAATCCAACGCCAGTCAAACCGTTGCAACTAAACCGGGACGGAGGGAGTAATTTCTGAGGGTTTGGTCCCAAATCTCTCTTTCAATCATTTAATTTAATTGTTTGATTATTATTTTCCTTGAAGTTACTAACGCGTGTATTTTGTTATTAGAAAGAGGTACGAAGCATCAAAGTAAGTACTTTAATTGTTTTATTGATGTTATGATGTAGAAATCATATTTACATTGTTCTTAAGATATTCCTAGTATCATGTCTAGGGTAATTTTAATATTAAATATGATTTTTATGATGCTTCCTATGTTCTTCCTAATATTTATGATTGCTAGTATCATGTTAGGGTTAAAGGTTTGATTTTTATTGCTTAGTGACATGCTAGAGTTTGATATTAATCTTGTTAGTAGCATGCCTAGGATCTTGCTATTTTTATTATGCTTTAATATTAACATGAACATGATTATGATTATAATTGTTATAATTTATGATGATTATGAATATTATTATTATTATTATTTTTATTATTATTTTGATAATGATTATTTTATTTATGATTATTATTGTTATGATGATTATTTTATTTTGATGATGAATATTTTATTTTGATGATATTATTTATTATAATTATTATTCATGATTATTGATTATTATTATGTTGCTTGATATATTTATTTGTTATTGCTTGATCACACCTTTTATTGCATGTTAAAGGGAATTGGTACTTGCAATCACGCTTAATAAGATATTAATAATCTTGTTAGGTTTAATTTGATTATAATTCAAGTGATTGCCAATAATAGTTTGTTTGTGCATTAATATTCAACTAACATAGATTAAACAGGTTTAGGGTTAATCCTATTGATTGCATGTTAGTCAGAAAGCGCACATGAATACGATATGAATAAAGTAGAGGCCTATTATTAGGGCAGGTTCAATCTCTTTTAGGTTGGATTTGTACCTTCATCCCCGAACCCTTATTTGGTTCATGACCTTATGGAGTTGACGATCTCTTGGATCGTTAAGGGGTGTAACCTTCACCTCGTGAACGGTTTACAAGTTCCTAAAAACTTGTTGGCGACTCTTTTGCTCTATCTTCTTCCCTTTTGGACGCCACCGTACTTTAGTGTATGATCACTGTGGGGTTCAAGCTAGTGGGATTTTAAAGGCTTGAAATTATTCCCTACAAGTACGTAGTACTAAAACAAAGCACAAATTTAAACCTAAGCATAATTAGCATTTTCAAGCAACCAAGCAATTTCTTGCAATACTATGGCAAATATTGTGACGAATTGTACAAGAAAAGCTAGCAAAAATGCAAAGAACGGGTCACATTGTTCTTCACGACCTCGAGAGGTCCAACAATGGTGAATCGTTCATTTCTTCACCAAATTGAGTCAAACAAGTCTCAAAATACTCCCAAAGCAATATAAAAACATACTCAAGCAAATTCATGGCATGAAATTCAACAAACAAAGCAAATTAAGCAAAGTAAGTTTCGAATTTTTCAAAAATTCGTGAACAAGAACACACAATTCATCAAAAACCGGAGTGAGTTTGCGCAAAACTTACATAGATCGGGAAAATAGATGTGATAAGCTTCGATTTGCAACAAGTTTGAGCGAATTCGGCTAAGAAATGAGCAAGAACAAGGAGATCGAAATTTTTGAGGAAATGCGAAAAAGCAGAGCAACAGCGAAATGAAGAAGAATGGGCGGATATTTAAAATACCCGACCCTGTCGCCAAACGACAGGTATATCGCGCGGCGACAAGGTCTGTCGCTTGGCGAAAAGCCCTAAACGCGGCGACAGAGTACATGGCTCCATAACATGGTTTTGTGGACTTCGTGCAGCAGTTTGGGTTCCTTGGTACGCCAGTTAGCCCCTCTAAGCAATTTGACATGATTTAGTAATCAGCTCGATTACGATTAAATCGAGTGATCGACCTGATGAAAGATCGTCTCACTTCACTTAAAGCGCCTAAACATTGGCTCATTACAAAGGCACCAACATAATGGTTCATAAACAGCAAAAGCACCAACATAATGGTTCACAAGCAGCAAAAGCCCTGACGTACTGGCATAGCGAAAGCAAAGTTCAAGCGAACTTTAAAAGATCGACAAGCGTTGGTCTTCGATAATTTTTTTCGGAATATTATCACGACAACTGAAGGTGATTTCAAGCGGAGTTATCTTCGATCGTATTCCCTAAGATGTGGAAGATGGTCACAAAGCGGAAGAGGATCGTTTCAAGTGAAGCAATCTTCGATAGTGTTCCCTGGCTTGCGGATGATTATCACAGCGGAAATTGGAGGCAATTACAAGCGTAGCAGTCTTCAGGCGGGATGGCATTCTCTAGCTTGTGGAAGGTCGTCAAAACAAAAATGCAGCAAAATTGGTTAATTCAGAGACGTGTGCTCGGCGGTGCAAGATACGCGTTTCTTAACTCTTTTATCTGTTTAACTAACGCTAGTTTGCAGGTACCGGCGTTACAAGAATGATTTAGGATCGCCAAACTTTATGTGAAAATTTTTAGGTGCAGGCGGCTGTACCTTGCTTGGTACAGCCAAAAAAAGCAAAAAGAACATGTAACTATTTTGTAAAGAGCATACAGTTATTTTGTAAAGAACATATAGTTGTTTTGTAACGAACATTCAATTTTATATATTTTTTTCATATCTAAAGAACATCTGCAATATTAATAAAGAACATGATAATATTATGTAATAAATTTTATCTATATATAACCACCCTAATTTGAAGACAAAATTTAATAAACATTTCACATTAAGCAATGATCTTTATGTTGCAAATAAAGTACATTATACTGACTGATCAATGAACATAAACATATGTTCTTTTTATGTATTATTTGGTGCAAATATGTTTTTTTCACTCTAGGTATATGTTCATTACATTTTAATAGTATGTTATTTTTACTTTAGTTATATGCTCATTACATTTTAATAGTATGTTCTTTTCACTATAACTATATGTTCATTACTTTTATATATCATGTTCTTTCCTACAAAACGACTGTACGTTGCACCGTACAGGCGCTTGTAGGAACCAGCTATTGAACGTTATGAATCATTCTCCGTCCCTATCGCTACTTTGACTTTTGTTTTTGAAACATGCATTTCTCCAAACTCAGTCAAAGTGGGGGCTTCTGTAGACACCCATTTGTGTCTCCCCAAAAACAAACCCAGTGATGAATACCTTTCGCGTCGAATCATAATCGAATGAAGTGAAAGTGTGAAAGGTTAAGTGTTGCGGTTTAGTTTTATTAAAATTCTTTCTCTTTGTTTTTTAAAACAACTTTATTTTATAAAAATAGCCGATCCAGTTTAGTTTGGTCTTTCACAAGGTCCAATAATAGTGTAGTTGGATGGGGCTTTCAAAGAGCTTTCCAACGATATATTATAAGCCCAATTCCGATGAATAATAATGAGGAAGTTATGGCCAAAATACTAAACTGGGCCCGGTTTACATGCGGCCCAATGATCTAGAGGAGGGCCCAATGTTAATTATTATTCCTAAAAGTACTAGGATTAATTATAGTCTTCTAGAATTCTCTAGAAGGTTCTTTTCCATCCTAATATTAATAATTATATTATGATGAGTTTTATTTGGAATAAAATAATATTAGTTTATTAAAATACGATTTTAGCTTCTGTACGGATTCCATAGATCAAATTTGGTTAAAGATTGGATTCCGCGTAGAAAGTGCGTGAAAACCAGGCTTTCGCCAAAAGATAGGCCTGTCGCCACGCGACAGACTCTGTTGCCAAGCGACAGAGTGGTTTTGCGGCGAAAGCTTGTAGTCTTATTCCTTATCAAATTCTATGCTTTTCCGGACTATTTTTATTATAAATAGGGTCCTGAACCTCCATTTTTACTCATTCACAATCACCCAATTCTCTCTGTATCTCTCTCGAGCAATTCATGCTTTCTTTCTCTCTTTTTCTAAACTAGATTTTTACAAACACAATACCGCACTCACAAGACTTAGAAACACCTAGCCAAGTTCGAAGTTGCCTTCGCCCTAGACGTGAAAGGTTTATAATTTTCTGAGGGTTTGGTCCCAAATCCAGCCTAAACTTTATAACTCTTTCTTTCAATTAATTCTTTGATTTATTATTTTCATTGAAGTTTACTAACGTGTGTATTTTGTTATTAGAAAGAGGTACGAGGCTTCAAAATAAGTTATTAGCTTACTCCCTTTTAATTTCAATGTAGGATGTTTTTATTGCTTTCTAGAATCATGTTTAGGGTGCCTTTACTCTTTCCAATATCATGTTAGTACCTTGTTAGGTTTAAAGCTTTGATCTTTAATGCTTAGTGACATGCTAGGATTTGTTATTAATCTTGTTAGTATCATGCCTAGGATCTTGCTATTATTATTAAGCTTTATTATTAATATTATCATGATTATTATTATTGTTATGATTATGATGGTTATTATTATTCAGTTGCTTGATATTTATAAT